CAAGGAACATGTGTTTAAACACAACAATGAGTCCAGTCTGAATGCTTTTCTCCCAACTTGTCTTGCATAAATGCTAGAAAACAAGTAAAAAAAATGTTGATTTTATTGAAATTTAACAGCTCATAGTCCAGTTAGGAATTTATTTTGATCTGGTGAACTGGGACTCCTACTGTGGTCTGGTCTGAACGTGTATATCTTTTTAAATAGCAGCATTTCTTAGCAATAAAGAGGTTGTGTGGTTTTAAATTAGTGTATTTTTATTTTTTTTGCCAGCCAACAGGATGTTTAGTAAAGTCTGACAGAATCAAGTGCTTGCTGGTGAACTCTTCCTTTTGTGAAAGCCGCTCTGTAACTGGAAACCGATTCACCATCAGAAGTTAACGTCGAAAAAGTAAAAAAAAATAAAGCATGATTTGATCTGCCAGACACGCTTTACAAGCAGACAGGTCTTTAACCTCTGATCTGCCTCCGCCTCACGTGGACTCGTGACCTTCTTCCGTTTGACTCGGTTCGTCTGCTGCACATGAGGAGTCTTTATCAGATCGCCCGGTTTGTGTCTGAGCCGCGTCATTTTGCACCAGTTATCATCGGCGCACAGCTCCGGCTCAGCAGCCACTACCAGCGGTGTGTGTGTGTGTGTACATGATATCACTTGCCCAACACGCACTCGTTCAGCACTCGGCTAGAAAGGAGTCACATGCGAGAAGAAGCGAAGCGAGTCAACTGAGCTGTGGTTACTCCCAGCAGGGAGGTGAGAAGAGGAAGGAGGAGCAAGCACACTGCACATGCAGCACTGACACCTAACAGTTGTGTTAATTTCACGTTGGCAGCTAATGAGCCGGAAAGACGAGTTAATCAAAGGCTCTGATAGAGCAGCTTACCTTTTCTTAGGTAAATGTTATCTGAGAAATAAAACACAAATGGAAAGGATATAAATAAGACAGGTTAACAGATGTAAGCAGGTACAAACGCACGCACACACGCCTCATATTCAAGCGGACTGATCAACACTGAAATACGCACACAATGACAGAAACAAAGAGTTTCTCTAAGATTATATTCACAATCTGGTAGGAGCAACAAAAAGTGTCTATTGCGCTGTTTGAGCCTCTGGTTGCATCACTGAACATGTTGCGATGCAGCATTACATTTTAGATGTAACAAACCTGTAAGACAACACATTTTTCCTCACAAATTTAATGTGAAACGTAATTATTAGTTGCCTAATAGCCACACTAAAAACACGAATAATGTTTGATGTATCTGTTGGTTTTCATTTTGAAATTATTTTCTAGAGATTACAAGTATGTAATGTAGTTTTTTTTAGATAACGAGATATCTTCAGAAAACTGCTTTTTTTCTCTAAGCAACGAGATGATTTTGTTGCAGAAATGAGTGACGCCATCACTAAACACTTGAAGATGATCTGTAGCAGTAAAGTGTTGATCATGTTCTCTGATGTGACACTTTGCAGCTTGAATCAGCTGCCAGCTCCCCTTCCTGACTTTTTAATGAGAAGCAACCAATTTTATTTAGTCGCAAATTTGAAGCCTTTTTTTTTTGTTGTTATCACAAGAAAATTAGCTTTTCTAAGGCAAAATAAATAAACATCTTAACCTACCTTAAGACAAACTCGTGAAATTGCGTTTCTGACCGTGTCCCTTCTTGGCTTCTGTACAACACAAACTTGTAGCGCTTGAATTTTTTCGTTATAAAAGTTAAATTTCTCACTAACGTTCAGCCTCATGTAAGTTAGATATATATATTTTTTTTTTTAGATGCACATATGATGAAGAACAAAACAACAATTTCATGTGTTTATTCATAGAAATATGCTAATTAGCTTCAGAAAATTATGTTTTAAAACAACTAAATTTAGTCGTGGCTGAACTAGCCTTCTATGCTAAGACGATGTAAAGGTCATTATCTGAAGATAATTGCAGGGTTTATTTAGTTTTTGTGTAAAACTAAAGGTTTTAGCTGATCTGGATGACAATATCATTCAGCTAGTTTGAGTTTGTCAGCCTCAGACAGCTGATATGACCTTATATCTCTTTTTTTTTTAATAATAGTAAATAATTTGAGTCTTCTATGCTGCTTTGTTACACAATCTATTGTTCGCCTCATCACAAAAATTACATTTAGTTCTTTCTAATAATTTACTCGTGTTCGTAAAAGTATATGGGGGTCCAAAAACAACTTACGGTAATCGCTCATATTAGTGATGTTTAATTTCTTCCCATTTACCAGTACATTTAACAGCCAATTCCTCCATTTTTGTGTCTGACTTCCTGTTTGCATCAGGCTCCACGGGTTGTGAATTCAGTCAGATATAGACCTGGTGCATATTTTTAAACACCCTGCAGCATATTTTGGAGATAAAAGGATTAACAAACTTGACTGAGATCAACTTTGGCGACTAAATCCAGAAGACATCTGGCGGAATCAAAAAGTGTTTTTTTTTAAAGGAGATCAAGGAGGACAGTGTTCAATAACTGGGAATGAGTTTAGATTTCTGAACTTATAGGACCGTCGGTTTGGTTAAATGTTGCTTAAATGATGAACGGCACAAATCCAATCATGACAAATTCGTCATGATTTGCTGTTACCAGATATTTAAAAAAAACCAACTAAAAATTAAACTATAAACAGCAAATGCATTCGGTATTACTTTTTTTAAAAGTTCTCCCAATCACATCAAATTATTTGAAGATGACAATCTGGGTTTGGCAACCCTAATTCTTATAACGTTTATAATTAATTAATTGTAATTATGTTGAAATTACAGTCAAACGTGAAAACCTGTTCACAATGACAAGGTCACAAGTAAACATTTTACTTTCAGCGGTATGTTTGGCGAACAATACTACAACTCTAGTACAAAAGTACATTTTAATCACTTTTTTTTTAGACGGATATGTTTCTGAGATGTAAATGAAGTGGACTCAATTTAGCCATTTATTGAGCTGCGAGTTGCCGAGGAAGAGAACAGACGAAAAGAAAGAAGGACATATGGAGGTGCTGGACACCCGTCGGACAGAAACGTATTCAGGTCGTCTCCACAACAACCGAGGCACGAGCCATCCATCAGCCAGGAAGTGTGGAGGAAAATAAATGGTCTCTGGTCAAAGCAGTTAGAAAAATGTCCTCTGTAAAAACGTCACTGAGGATTATTTCAAACCAAGCTGAGGCGAAATTCGCTCTTAGAAACACGTTAATGATCAATTCTGTATTTGTGAATGTGTGGGGACGGTGTGTCGAGCGAAAACGAACAGGATGTCTTTAAAAATCCAGCCTTTTGTCAGTAAAACTCGTTTTCCTACTTAGTTTATTTAAAGCAACGTTTGAAGAATGTCAGCTTGTCTTGCCGTTCATCTTAAAAGAAGCAAACTACAGTTTTACTTAGAGCTGAATCACTGATGTTTCTCTGCCATGTGTAAAACAAATGTCTAGAAAAGGTCGTGAAGAAATGATAATTAGATGCAGTTTTAGTCACGCATCTTCACATTTTAAATGTTATTGAGATTTTAAATGAAGTCGTTTTTAACATGCGCTTTATTATTTCTTCCACTTGATTTATTTTCCACAAAATTTAATGCGTTCAATTAAAAAAAAAATTGAATGCGTAATTGTTAATAATTGTTTAGCTCTTCAAAGAAACTTGTTTTATATTTTTGCACAACATCAAATTAAAGTGTAAACTTTTCTGCAATCTGACGGGAATTAAAACAAATCAAGAACAACAAAAAAAAACAAAAAAAAACTTTAAATTTTAAAGTCGTTTTAAATGTACTACATAACCTAAAATAAAGTATTTTTTACAGTTTGAACGGGAGTGTTTTTGCCAAAAGTTGTACTTAACTGCATTAATGAAACTATTATTTGTACATTTGTGCTTTAAATACTTAAAAAAACTGAAAATTTACTTTAAATTAGTTTTGTTTGACATAAGTACGCTGTAGCTTTGTTACACTGTAAATAAAATCTGGTACAGAATAAATAGAAAATGGAAAACAGGACAAATAAACGTGTTCTTGAAGTGACTGCAGTGACTAATAACCAGAGGAGCAAACTTGATCAAAACCCCCAAGAAAAACTGGGATGAACAAGTAATGAAGCTAAAAGTAAAACCTTAAGTTAAAGACTGTTACAGATATATACAGTTTACTGTGACTTCTAGGGGTGCAAACAATTTACAAAAATATGGCATTGCACAAAATAAATATAAAAGTCCAAGTGACACGCTCTGTGTGTCAGAAAGATACTCGACCAGATAGACCTGATTAAGATGATGATACTTTTATGAAGATGGCTGCACAGACGGAGTAAATAAGGGTTTTTACATGTTTGACTAACTACGACACCTACACGCTCACTGATGTCCATTTTTGCAAACCAGTCCTTATAAAACACCATATGTAGTTTATTTACCCAAACTGCAAGGTTTTAGTTACCCTGCAAATTAGCTTAATTAGCAAAAGCACAATCAAGAGAGAATCCAAGTAGTCAGCGACGTTCAGAGCAATCCACACCTTTACCGAAAGATTAACGCAAGCTTTAGAACTGCAGCTTTTGGTTGGTTCAAGTTGGGCTTTAACAGATAATTCATCCATTTTGAGGCACTACAAAATACATCACGTGGGATTTTGTGTGTGTGTGTAAGAAGATTGTCCAAGAGGTTCTTCCTACCTTCGGGGGGCATTAGCGTCTTCTTATTCTGGGAGCACCAGCCTACCGGGTGCAGCTCGGCTGTCATGACGTCACACCAAAAGTCGGCCTTGCGGTCGTCGCCATAGCCGCTGTAGCGCAGCAGCAGCAGCTGGCCACATGTGGTGATGATGGTGGCCACCCAGTAGGTCTCTGGGCTGCCCTTATTGGCCACCTCCAGCTTCATACCCGGCTGGAAGCTGCTCTGGAGGCTGATTTCCACCTACATGTGACAGTAAAGGAAATATATCATCTTCTGATCTGTTTTAAAACATGGTTTGGCGTTACAGGAAAACAAAACACGGTTTTTCCTCAATAAATAAATGTTAGCGTGTTTTTTTTTTAGGCTCATTTGTCCTTACAACATCCTCCTGCGGTGCAGTTTGATGTGTTTCAATCAAAAGTTGACGCGAACAACTTTTTCTAAACTGCTTCAAACGTGGAACTAGAAAGCAAAAAGGCAAACTCAGAAGGCCACATTCCTCTTGATCTAAATAGAGGGTGAACTAGTCACGAGCGCAAATATTTACTTTCATAAAGAAGGAAAATGTTTTACGGGAACTTGCTCATTTTACGCACGAAAACAAATTGACAGGAAGTAATGCACAGCTCGTGAATACAGCTGTCTTACTATTTTTATTTACTTTGGAAGAAACTGTGGAAGATAAGCTTTGATGATTTCACTAGAACAGAACAGAAAGCAGTGATGACGGCTGACGGCATTAAATGTGAGACTAACATGATCTCCATTGCTTCATTATAACAATTCTGTGTTTGTTGTTTTAATTAGCCCCACTGGACGTCATTAAAAATCAAAGTATTTTTGCTTTAGCCGATTCATTTTTGAGCATATTTTTTAATAAGATATCCCTCTGGAGTGAAATAATAAAAGTAACTGATTTAATTGCCTTAAATGTAGGTTTCAGCTTGCTATGATAGTTTTAAAAACGGTCTTATTTTTTTGTTTTTTAACACTTAGATTTAAAAGCAACGTCTCAAAGCAATTTCTGCCTAAGCGTTTAGGAACTCAAGAGCTTCCAGATAATTAAACGAACTGACTACAAATATGATGTTTTTGGTGTCTGCGACAGAAAATTGTGGAAAAAAATGGAGTTCTAATAAATCTTAACAAGCAATTAAACATATTTTTTCCACAGCATGCTTAGCTAGAAAAGTTAGGGTCACCATGGTAACCATACACCTCTTACTTTGTAATAGCACTCATAATAAGACAGTCAGACAATAATACATTCAAAAAACGGTTGTTGTGAAAACTCAAACAGGTGATGAGAAAAATGGACTATAAATGGCATAAAGAGTTCGTCATGGCATGTTCTCAGTGTTTTCTGTAGAATATGACTCAAAAACAACCTTCATTTGATGCAGTGGAAGTCAATGAGAGTCACGCTGGATTTGAGAGAAAACAGTTATATACCATTGAGGAACAGACTGGGCAAAATAAGATTAAAATCCCTACGAATGATGTATAACCTGGAAAATAAGTATAAGTTTGTGGGAGTAAGAAGTTTGTGCACAATTTGGAAAGTTTAGACAGCTTGAACGTTAGTGTGACATCATCACCACACTGTAAGGTAAACAACAAAAAAGGATTTTTTTGGGGGGAAGTTCCCCTGGATTGGCAGACCGGGGTGGTGGTCCCCCTATTCAAAAAGGGGGACCGTAGAGTGTGTTCCAACTAGAGGGGAATCACACTCTTAAGCCTCCCTGGTAAGGTCTATTTGGGGGTTCTGGAGAGGAGGGTCCGTCGGATAGTCGAACCTTGGATTCAGGAGGAGCAGTGCGGTTTTCGTCCTGGCCGTGGAACACTGGACCAGCTCTACACTCTCAGCAGGGTCCTGGAGGGTGCGTGGGAGTTTGCCCAACCGGTCTACATGTGCTTTGTGGACTTGGAGAAGGCGTTGGACCGCGTCCCTCGGGGAACCCTGTGGGGGGTACTCTGGGAGTATGGGGTACCGGGCCCTTTGATACGGGCTGTTACGTCCCTGTATGACTGGTGTCAGAGCCTGGTCGCTGGCAGTAAGTTGAGCTTGTTCCCGGTGAGAGTTGGACTCTGCCATGGTTGCCCTTTGTCACCGATTCTGTTCATAACTTTTATAGACAGAATTTCTAGGCGCAGCCAAGGTGTTGAGGGGATCCGTTTTGGTGGCCTTAGGATTGCGTCTCTGCTGTTTGCAGATGATTTGGTCCTATTGGCTTCATCAATTCGTGATCTGCAGCTTTCGCTGGAGCGGTTCGCAGCCGAATGCGACGCGGCCGGGATGAAGATCAGTTCCTCCAAATCCGAGGCCATGGTCTTGAGCCGGAAAAGGGTAGAGTGCCCTCTCCAGGTCAGGGAGGAGGTCCTGCCCCAAGTGGAGGAGTTCAAGTATCTTGGGGTCTTGTTCACGAATGAGGGAAAAATGGAGCGTGAGATTGATAGGCGGATAGGTGCAACGTCTGCAGTGAAGCAGGCGCTGTACAGGTCTGTCGTGGTGAAGAGAGCCGAGTCAAAAGGCGAAGCTCTCAATTTACCGATCGATCTACGTTCCTACCCTCATCTTTGGTCACGAGCTTTGGGTTGTGACCAAAAGAATGAGATCTCGGATACATGCGGCTGAAAAGAGTTTTCGCCGCAGGGTGTCTGGGCTCTCCCTTAGAGATAGGGTGAGAAGCTCGACCATCCGGGAGGGACTCAGAGTAGAGCCGCTGCTTTTCCACATCAAGAGGAGCCAGTTGAGGTGGCTTGGGCATCTGTTTAGGATGCCTCCTGGACGCCTCCCTGGTGAGGTGTTCCAGACACGTCCCACCAGAAGGAGGCCCAGAGGAAGACCCAGGACACGCTGGAGGGACTATGTTTCTCGGCTGGCCTGGGAACGCCTCGGGATTCCCCCGGAAGAGCTGGCCCAAGTGGCTGGGGAGAGGGAAGTCTGGGCCTCCGTACTTAGGCTGCTACGCCCGCGACCCAACCCCGGATAAGCGAAAGAAAATGGATGGATGGATGGATGGACAGTCAGAGCTATTCCTGTTAGAGCCACACGTGATGTATTCGACATGCTGCATCCAAAACTTTACATCAAAAACAATGAGTACAGTGTAAGACGAATGGCTGAATAGAAACAAGAGTGCTTAAAATCCTGCCACTTATGAATTAAAACTGAATGTGAATGCAATTTAGAAAATAGCAACACAACAGAACTGAAGTCAGATTCTGCTTTAAGCAAGGCGGTTTTAACAATCCCCACACAGATGTTTGACTTTCAGGAGCATCTTCAAACCAAAGCTCTGTTAACGCAGATAAATGCACAAAACATGTCTCCAGCCGTATTCAGTTCTTGAGAGCGCTACAAACCTAACAGGATGTTCACATGCGTTACTCACTAAAACACAAATGAAGGGATATGGCAACATCTTAGAAATAAACACAATGCAGTTGGCCCTGGGACTTCCTGCTGCAACAATGCAAATGCGCTGTATTCCTCTCTGGTTGGGTTATGTAAGAGGGCAGCCTCAGCAGCTAAGTCTTGCCTGTGTGTGGGGCTGTGTGCGTGTGTTGTGTAAGGGCCCAACAGAAATCATTGTTTCAATTTGCTCAAGCAGAGAGAGAGGAAAAACGAGGGCAGCACTTCACTAAATCACATTTTTCTGGGGAATTCATGGTCCGTTTGCCTGTAACTCAATTGACGTACCAACAAGGCAGTTTAGCTTCCCCTGAGAATTCAAATCACCACTCAGTTTGTCCAACATCAGGGCACTCGTAAACCCCGCAGATTGTAATCCTGTCCTCATTACACTAGCTGCTTTTTAAAATCCAAAGCAGAAACGATTCCACCTCTCCGGCTGGAGCAGCTGAGAGCCTCATTGGAGCTGACAGCTGCTTTGTCGGTCAAACAAACGATAATCTAATGGATAAAACCCTCACAGCCAGAATAGATGCACCAACCTGCACCTGTCAATGGAGGCAGAGCTGTATCCTTTTTTGGTTAAGGAGTAATGTTCAGAAAAATGTATGTATTTCATATCGATAATCCGTCATGTACATGCAAATAAATAAATAAAAGAAAGGCTAAAATGGCACAAAATGCAGCATTATGTGCATCAGTTGTCAGATGGTTAAACTGACTCTTCTGGGATGATTCAATTAAAAAGATGAACGCATTTAAAAGTGAGGTGGTGAGCACGGGCTACAAATTAAAACTATTTGTTGAGTGTGTAACCCACAAATACACATCAAACCCAAAACAACAAAAAAAAACAAGAAATGAGCCAGTTCTGTGTAAACTTGAATTTTCCCATCAATATTTTTCATAATAAATATTTGCCCTTTGAGTAGCTCCTGTTGACTGTGGATATATTATGGTTAAAAACATTACATATGAACTAAATCAATGACTTCAACGATAAAATGTGTACTCCAAATTATCTAAAAACGTCTAATACTTTACACACTCCACAAGCTATTGGAAATATCTTGATTTTTTTAAATATTATTTAAAAGTAAAATTAAGGTTTAAGTTAAAAGATGAGCAAAAGGTGTTTTACTGCAGTTAAGGGTTTTAAAAGTTTTATCCGGCAAGAAACAAATATTAAACTAAACAAACTACATAAAAACAAACATGACAAGAGCTTCGAGCAATGACTACAGATGTGTATTTTGTTTATTTTTTGAATTGTATTGACTGAAGAAGTAAACAGAAACCTCTTTCTGCTCATGTTTATTGTTGTCTATGATCAAAATTTAAACAAGTATTTTAAAAAGTCCCTGTTACTCATTTATCACTCGTTTCTCACAGATTTGGACCCTGAAATATTCACAACAGGGTTGAAAAAGTTCCTAAATGATGCACCATTACAGTTCCTACAACAGTGTTTTCTATGAACTAATGTAGAAATGTTTAAAATGTTAAAACCCATTTTGACCATTATGTGTTGTCTCTGCTGGAACAACAAGCAAAAGTTGCAGCTTTTTGTTTATTTTTAACAATTGTCATAACTGTGTGAATGTTTATGGAGCATTCACTCTGTTGTGATCCATTTTCCTTCTGTGCGTTTTTCAGCATCTTTCTCGTTCCACAGTTTTTGTGCCGTTTCAACAAACCATAAATCAAAACGTTCAGCTCTTTCAGAACAATCCTGCTGTGACTTTTGGTATTGGTGCAACTTTATTAGCTTTTTGAAATATTTAGCCCTTTCTGCCATTCTTTCCTCATAGAAAATGAATTGAACTCATTTTACATCCTTCAGATCTTTAGATCTGTTTACAAACTTTTACTGCTCCTTTCACATTTTTGTTCTGCTTCAGCTGCTTTCAGCTTCTTTGTGCAAATTTAAACTTTTTTCCAGCTACTTTCAGCTAATCTTTTCTGTTGTTTTTTTTTCAGCTGTTTTGTGCTCCTTTCAGCTTTCTGCTAACTACATTTTGGTGCTTCTTCTAACTTCTTTCTGCTAATTTCAGCTTGTTATGTTTCTTTCAGCTTATTTATGCAACTTTTTCTACTAGTTCAGCTACTAATTAGTTGTTTTTATGCTAATTTTAGCTTTTTCAGCAAATTCCACATTTTTTATACTTATTTAATCTTTTTTCAGCCTAACTCAGATAAAATGTGCTCTCTCCACTTTTCTGGTAATTTAAGCTTCTTTCTGCTTTTTAGCTACAATTCAGCTGGGGGTTTTGTTGTTGTTGCCTTTTCAGCTTTTTTCAGATAATTTCCACTTTTTGTGCTCATTTCTGCTTCTTTCAGCAAACAGCTTGTGCTACCTTTTCAGCTACTTTAATTTTTTTTCACTAATTTCAGCTGTTTTCTGATAAATTCAACTTTTATGTGGTAATTTCTGCTACTTTCAGATGAAATAACTATGCTAATTTCAGTTGTTATGCTCCTTTCAGCTTTTTTCTGCTAGTTTAGGCTTTTTTATGCTATTTCAGCTACTATTTAGTTGTTTTGTGCTAAATTTAGCTTTTTCAGCTAATTACCTTTTTTTTTTTTTTTAGCTCATTTCAGATCCTTTACTTCCATTTGGAACTTTAAGCGTCTTTCAGCCTTTTCATTTACTTTTCAGCTATTTTTTGCTAAATTCAGCCTTTTTTTTTTAAGCTAATTTCCTAATTTTTGTGCTCATTTCTACTTATTTAAACCTAATTCAGCAAATATATGTTCTTTCTGCTTTCTTCTGCTAACTTAGGCTGGTTCTTCTATTTCAGCTACAATTCAGCAAGTTTTTTTTGGCTAATTTCAGCTGTTTTTCAGCAAGTTCTTCAGCAATAAACATTCACACTGCATTTTCACAGGAAATGCAATTTCTCTAGTTTGGTTTGCGTTGGACATTATTTCATAAAACAATTTTTTAAATGATGACTTCAATCATATTTTAAACACTAAATTAGGAGCAAAAATAGAAAAGTTGAAAGTCAACACTAAAATATGTGCCTTCATGCTTTATCCCCCTCAGAGTGAAACTTTGCTTACAACTTTTCATTCAGTTTCCAATGAATACTTAAAAAAACAAAATAAAATAAACTCCAGCCAAAGTCCAAATATATTTTCCCAGGTGCTTTTTTGCGTCATCACAGTCTCCTGTGTTTTCCTGCTCAAGTGGTTAAATACATTTGTTTTAAAAACCAAGCAAAGGTCGGTCAACAAGTTGCATCACAAGGAAACAAACAGCAAACAAGTTCATTAAAAGGCCCTCACACAGCACTTTCTAAAGTGTTGTTAAAGGCTCTCTGCATGTGGCACTTATCTGCAAGACTGTGCTTAAAGGATCAGAAATAATGGCGATGATCATACATGTTTGAAGGTGGTGTGAGGGGCGGCGTCGGCTCCCGTCTCCTCCATATACTCCTCCCAGATGAACTCCTCCTCCATGGACTCGGCATCTAAAAAAAAAGAAGTCAGTTTTAAATAATTAATTACTGATAAAATGAGCCCAAGATGATTTTAATTTAGAATTTAGCACACATGAAGCCAGATCAATGCAGCTCATAAGCGCTGAATTCACAGGGAATTATTTATAGGACTTGTCTCGAGTGCACAGCAGGCTACACAACGTTACATAACATCACTAATGTTCCTCCTGATGGTAAGATTTGTTCACTTTGCCTGTGGGAGACTACATTTAAAGCATTGGGAGTGCTGTTTTCCACTGTTGTGAGTCTGCTGGATCCCTGGAGACTCCAGCGGGAACACGTTCTGTTTAACAAGAGGAGACGGGAGATAAACGATGTTCACTTTGTCTCGTGAATGCACACACGTACACCTGCCGTTCCTCAAGATTCTTCTACTCCTGTCGCGTAAAAGTTGAAGAGTCACAAAACAGAATTTCAACATGCAAAAAACCGTGATTGTTTAAAGTGAACAGGCAACTCTTGAGTGCGCATGTTTACGATCTGCTGGCTTTTCGTTGGGTCTATTTTAAAACTTGGCAGGTTTATCGCTCGTGGGCTGGAGAAAGTGCAGAGCAGAAAGCGAAACTGAATGAGACGTTCGTGCATTTTTTTTTTTTCTATAAGAGGAGCTCTGTAATGTTACCAAAATATAGTAAAGTATGTGGCGTTTAGGTAACCTCTGTAAAACTGAACACTTATTAAATTCCCTACCTACGAGAAACTGTGCAGAGAAATGTAAGAACAGTTTTCCTCAGTGATGACTCAGTTCCTGCACTGTTTATATAATCAAAGCAACTGAATGCTGCATTCAGTGTTGAGTATAAATTTGATTAAAAAAATAAAATAAAAAAAACAGTTGTGTAAGGTTTGTCAGCTTTGATTTATTCTTGATCTAAGAAACTTGGGACTAATTTTATTGCACGTTTCAGCTCATGTTGGTTGATGAGTGTTTGCTGATAACAGCAAGACAAGAAATCAATCCTGGTCCTGCAGAATGAAGCGGCACTGGTGGCTCAGTGAGAGAACTTCAGGCTCAGATTGGGATTTTCAGTGTTTCTAAGCTGGTTCACGTCTGTGCTGGACATTCACGGCAGCAACTTGGGGCTGTTTTTAAGAGACCGACAAATCTAAAAGCAACGTTTCTTCAACCAATTATTGCTCTATGAAAACAAAAAGGTTTATTCCTAGTAGATGGTGAAGATTGGGATTTCTTATCTTTCTTAAATTCATTTACATTATAAAAGATTTCGCTACAGTTTATTCATCAAGAATCAATGTATGAGCGCATCACATTGCGTAAACTTGTTTTTCCTGTATGTTCATACTCTTAAAAATATTTTAAATACTCAAAAGTAACACTTTAAATGCAATCTTTTAAGAGACTAAATGACAGAAAAATCGCTTTACAACAATCCCTCTGGATTAGATTTATTGTAATTATTTTCAGTTCCTTTTTTAGAACAAAATAAGTTTAAAGATGCAGCTCTCTCTTGAAAATGAGTCCTCGTGACTCACTGAGACTACTGTATAAATAAAGGTTGAATGAATGTAGCTGAAAACTAATCTGAAATAATAAAACTAAAGCTTGTACTCGTTTTTACATCAAGCCACACCTGCAGCACATTAATTTAGTGAAATTCGAATTGGCAAATGTCTGATTTACTTGGGGCGGCTGTGGCTGAGTGGTTAGAGCAGTTGTCTTCCAATGCAAGAGTTGGGGGTTCAATTCCACCAGCAGTCACATGTTGAAGTGTCCCTGGGCAAGACACTGAACCCCTCATTGCCTCTGATGTGTGTCCCATCGGTGTCTGAATGTGATAAAGCTCTGATTAGTCTTTGTATAGATCTAGTATAGAGCTGTATGAATGGGTAAATGTGGACACAGATTGTAGTGTAAAGAGCTTTGAGTATCTTCATAAGATAGAAAGGTGCTATATAAGTACAGCCCATTTACCTTTTACTTGTGATTTATTGATAAGGGAGTCTAATCGATAAGCCTATTGATTAGATACATTCAATTGCCTTTTTCTTTTGGGATTTCTTTTGTTTCGGACTTCACCAGTTTCACATAAATGCACACGTATCCAGATTTAGAAACTCTCAGTTGACCTATCCAGTTGATAACCAGCTTTGCGGTACCACTAAGCTTGAGTTCAAGGGTCAAGGGTCAAGGTTCATTCACATCGCATGTGGTACATGAGGTGGAACGAAGCTGTGTACACAGGGTCCCAGTTACACCCAAAAATAGCAATAACGTAAACTATAAAAAAGAAACAGTATACAAAGATCTAAGATATATGGATGTGTACTGTATGTATGTGTGTTAGCAAAATATCTCATTAACCTTTGCACAGATTTTAATGGAACTTCTGGAAAGTAATTATTAGATGCACAGCACATCTACAACTGATTACTTTGTGGACTCAACCTGATTCAAGATGGCCGTACACCCAAATAATGTTATCAAGTACAAACATGACTGTGAGCAGCCATTTTTGCAGGCACTGACGTAATATTTGATGTGGTAGTGCCTGACAGTTATCCTCAACACATAATCTAAGCACATGTTCCTGTTTTTCGTATTTTACATCACTTTACAATGTAGCTGTTTTTGTTACATTTTTTATATAATTTTCTTCCACTTATTTATTCAATTTATATACGTTATTTTATGATTGTCTACAGTTGTCGTCACTCCTTGTTAAAAACAGGCGTCTCTTGAAAACGAGTCCTCGGGACTCAGTGAGACTAACCTGTATAAATAAGGGTTGAATATACTAAACAATAATAAGATAATATGGTGTATTATATGCATTATTTCTATTGCTAAGATTAAGTCAGATCATCTAAACATGCCCAGGATATGACAAACATGCATTCTATTACTCCAGGGGCTACTTATGTTTTGAACCTTGACCTGAATTAGTGAGAAGTAGCAGCGTTTTTAATGTAAAACCTGCTGCAAAAGGTTATCAGCATTTTCCCTTCTCTAGGTAAGACAGTTAACTTGTTAGTTATTCAGGATTTTCCCCCGGATGTCACGAATGCATCAGAAAGCTGGTTGGAGAGCCACATAAGTGACTAAATCTGTGTCACTGATTGTTTACTCCAAACTCACTGTGAGCTCAATCAAGTTAAAGCTCTGCTCAAAAAGAGACTGATGGGATATACAGCGGTTGCAGAATTTACAGAAAAGGCTGCAAGCATACAAAACGCTCCATGAACACGGGAAAAGATGATTTTGCAGCAGCTGGAGTGCTAAATACTCATAACCACTGCAGAGACAAAAGCTAAATGTTTTGTGGGATTAGTGGACCTTTTGTCTAAGGCACAAAATAATTAATTCAATAAATAAAATCTTTTTTTTTTTTAACTATAAATTACATAAAAACAGTTAAAGCTGCAATAGCTTATAACTCCCACCAGAAGTTAAAAGTACCGGCAAACAAAATTAAATGTTTCTAATTTTTTTTTTTTTTTACTATTTAAACACATAATTGTTGCTAAAGCGGTTTTATATTTAGGAGCTTGAAGTGGTGAGAATCTTCTCTGCCTCCTGTATAAAATACATTTTTAAAATACATTTTTCCTCCAAGCAGTCAGACTTCCTTGTAATATATTTTAAAGTAGACTCCAATAACAGGTTTTAAAGCTTTCTGGAGGTTTTTCATTTTTGTTTTCTCTGGTCTTGGCTGCTTGTTCACTCCATGATAATGCATTTTTAACAAAATAAGGAAGGTGGACAAGTGGACGAGAAAAAAAAAAGTACCAGGCATTACAATCTTTCTATAGTATCTACATGTGAAGTCTTTAAAAATAATAACAAAACAGCAAAGACCTGAGAGATGCATCATCAAGTTCTCAGCTTTTAGGTAATTAACTTGTTGGTGCTAAAATATGATTTTATGTGTCAAACTATGCGTCTATTTTTCTTAAATTCAGTAAAAGAAATGGGAATAATTAGTGACAGACTGTGAAAAACAAATTGCCTAAATAATCATTACACTTGTGAGCTGTCTGTTATGTCAACAAAACATTAATTTTATCATTTGAGTTTAAATGTTTTGTGTCTGAAATTAAAGGTCATGTTATGAGGCTTAACCACCAATTATAGAAATAAAAATAATAATCTGAAAATGGTCAAATTGAAAATGAGTGAAAAACCAGCCAAGATTCAAATAATTTGTTTAAACGACTTTTAGGAAATCTGTTAAAAAGCTGATCAAAACAACTTTTAAAGACTACAAAAAAGTCTGGCTGCTTGGAAACAAAACAAAGAAATGAAGGTACCACTTCACTATAAGGCTCCTCTTATAGATGCTAATAAATGGTTTACAGATACATTATTAATTCCTCTATAAACACTTTATCATTAATAACTGCTTATTATGCATTAATTAAGAGTGACAGAGAGACAAAACTGACCAGTTTCTTGCCAAATAGTGAGTCAAATCTGTTCACCTATATATTTAATCTAGAGTTGTTATAGTTACTACCATGTAAGCACAACAAGCATTTGTAAACCTATTTCTTTAGCATTTAATATTGAACTTTAGCACTGCATTATAAGTATCTACAACTAATATTATATCCTAAAAAATTAGGTTTACAAATGCTTATTGTGCTGACAAGGTAGTAACTATAACAAATCTAGATTTAATATATAGATGAACAGATTTGGCTCACTACTTGGCAAGAAACTGTTCAAATATGTCTCTCTGTCACTCTTAATTAATGCATAATAAACAATTATTAATGATTTGTAAAATGGCATTAATAACGTGCTTATAAACTATTTATTAGCCATCTATAAGGGGGGACTTATTGTAAAGTGGTACCGAAATGAGTGACTCAGGATTTTGCACAGTGCAATCTGTGTGCAGACGTGCATTTATTATTTTAAATGTAATACTTGTTTCATCTTTGTGCACTCAGAGTTTAGATGTAAAGAAACGTGCATTACAAATACAACTAAACACCATTAGTAGACACAAGTGAGACATTTTTGCACACATTTGCCTTTGTTGTTTTTTTTATTTAAACTGTGTATAACTAATGATCAGCGTGACTGTAAAACACTGGTGCTGAATGCGTTTGTTCACTCTAAAAAAAAAAAACGAGAAACAAGCTCATCTTTGCTGTGAACTGAAACCGAAACAACGAATGACTCCATCAGCTTTTTATGTGAAAGTAAACCTCTTAACTAAAATAAACACATAAATAAGTGTTCCAATAAAAATAACAAAAGCAAAAAAAGAATTTTGAAAACGTCCTTTTGTTTGTTCAATACTATCAGTGCATGTATTGACTATATGCAGGCTTAAGAATGTCCTTTATCTTAGCAGCACTGTGTGCAAAGCATCCTCATACATCACATGACACTGTCATTTCAGACGCTCTAATCAATGCCTTCAGCTCTAACGGGACGCGTGTGCCAGTCAGAGAAAAGTTGCACGGTAAATGCACGCCTATGATTCAGACTGTGACTGCAATACAAGCAGGTGACGAACCAAAACATGTTGACCTGCGATCACACGTGTCAAAACAAGATAAAAGTGTGAGCTACGCAGCGTGCAAGTGCTTCTCTCGTGTCATTTAAACGTGTCTCCTAAAGTTTCAAGCGGTTTTAAACAGAGCAGGGAGAATTACGACGTGCGAGTCTGTTTGAGTGTTGCAGAACAGAATGCACAGAAGGGCGCCCAAACCAATCTATCACACGACCGCGGCTCCATAAAACGAAACGGACCCAAGTTAAAGCAAAGAATAAATCTACCAGCTCTTACCTGTGTTCACCTCTTCTTCTTTGCCGTTTGTAAAATAGAGCGGCTGTGCTACAGTGAGGGCCAGCGGCTGATCCCGAGTCTGCATCCTGCAGCTTTAGCTTCCCGGCAGGACTGTGACCTTTGAACTGATGCGTTTCAGCGCCTCCTCATTGCACCCCTCACTTTCCCTGACAACCCTGCAAGAGAAGAGTTCAACTCAATCAGTCGTCTGACTTATCAGATAACTGCCAGCCAAGAGATTTCCAGGAAACGGATGTGTTCCAGCATGACGGTTTCAAAAAAAACAAGATCTAAAGTTTTGTTTAACAAGAACTCGTTATTTGGCAAGAACTTCCTTGGAAATAAAATGGTCGACTGGAAATGAAGCACGCTGCATTTCCAGCTCCTTTAAAGTGGGTGTTTGATGTGGAGAGGCAGCAACTGTAACAAATAAACACAATAACAGCCTCTAGAAACCTTAATAAACTCAAACATTAGGACGAACTCAGCTAATCGTTTTGATAAAGCAAAAACTCTACGAAAGTCAAGTGCAAGATGAAGAATAATTAAAGCCGAGTCATTAGCCAGTAATTGCAGATCATCCTCCGCCTCTTCACTTCTGTAATACTCCACACACTTGCAGCTGATGGCTGCATGCATTTGCATACCACAGCGAAACATAACCCATCAGATAAAGTAGAAAAACTGGAAGGACACGAGCAGGTAGACAGGTGAGCAAATTAGCCGACCGGTAAATAAAACGTATGCACGAAAGCAAACAAAGGGAGAAGTGAAGGAAAGAAAAAAAAAAAAAACACCTCAAAGCAGTTAAATATAGAAAAGAGGAAATGTGACTGTAAACATGCACGAAGGGACTCGAGTCTTGCAATGTGCTAACGCTATTTCTGGCTATTAAAGTAAACCATCGACCAAAAAGTGATGCTCTTTTCATCTAGAGACTGTTTTCTACCGTTTCTACCACAGCTCTTACGTGTGCTTTAGGATTCCTTTGATTTCTTTCTGGATTAAGAGTGCTGATTCAGACCCTAAAAGGTAAAAGTGATCAGCAAATCAACACGAGCTGGTTGGATCCGATGAGGAAAGGTGGGTTTGACCACCATTAGAAATCTATAACCCAGTGGTTCCCAAACTTTTCAGATGTCAACTTATAAAAATCTGACATTTTGACACACATTTGGTGTTTCATGACCCACGTTGGGAACCCTTCTTCTAACCCACCTAACCCAAATGTTTGTCTTTCTTTTCCAGATTGCTATTTTGTTCATTCTCCTTTTCATTAGGCTGTTTTTTTTTTTAAAGGGTTTACGGTAGAGTATGCTGAAAAGTTATTTTCCTAGTTTTTTTTTAAACAACTTACCAGAACCAAACTTTAATTTTATCTTTTAAACTGGTTTTGTGAAGGGCATAACGAAAAAAAAAAAAAAAAAAAGATACAAAAAATTAAACTATCTGCAAAGACCTGAGAGATGAATCATTATTAAAATGACCATGTCAAGTTCTCAGCTAATAACTCTGGGAATCACAATGTTGGAACAAAAACTCTGTGTTAATTTCTTTTTCTAGCTTTATCTAAAAAATAAAAAAAAATCGGAACAAACTGTGTCTTTGTGACAGGCTGCTGCTAACAAAGAGCCTCAAGATTTATTTTTGCTTTTGCTACGTTGTTTGTTGCGTCGACAAAACACTGGTTCATCACTTGAGTTAAAGGAAACTTACTCTTATACGAGTCATACGTCAGAGTGACAAACCATAGAAACATTCCACTGAAAATGGTTAGGTAATGGGCTAAAAATGAATGGAAATGCCCTAAAATAAAAATAAAAATCTGATTCGCAATATTCTACTGGTTTAGATGCGCCTGTATCGTGAGCGGATCAGAAGTTGTGGGTGTGGCGCGAGAAAGTTTATGAATAAACGGATCAATCCATTATACGCCCGCCATTCGATGGGCTTATACAAATGAATGACTTCAACAAAGTTGCCAAATGACATTTTAAGACGATGATATATAAAAAAAGGGTAAAAACAAAAATTGTCTATAAGATAAGATAAGATAGAACTTTATTGATCCTGCAGGAAATTGTTGAATATGAGTTCTGTTTCATTGCAGACAATATGACTCAAATATATTTAATGCTTTGTCGTGCTGACCTAATTTTTCTTTATGAATGTACATCCTGGAACGGTAAAGATTGGGCCACCTTACAATGGTGCATCTCTTTCTGACACTGCAACAGAGGATAGAGATATTAAATGTCCTTTTGACCCATTATTCCAGAAAACGCATCTTAATACTGTAACTGCTTGACTTTTCTATATTAAGGCTATCATGACAAAAACCTCACTTAGATAAAATTTGCAAATGTAACTCAAGTATACAACGAACATTTTCCAAATTAAACACTTAAAATTAGTGTTCAACTGTTTTACTATTGTGTGTAGAATCAGCGATCACAAGTTTAAACCTGACTTCAACGTCATAAACTGAAATTATGTCAGATTTCCTATATTTTTTCAATTAAAGCTATGTAGAAAAAGTAATTCCATGTGTATTTCTTTATGTAAAGATTTTTATTTTACTTCCTAAATGCTTTACCCACGCATCTGGACGTTATTCGTCCATTTCTGCTCCTCAAAGACTCAAGCTTTGGAACGAACTCGTGTTTACAATCACCTGTTTGCAAAAAAAAAATAATAATAATAATTTTCAAAATGTCCTTATTGCAACTTTGCACAAGCAAAACCCCCCTGTTACTGAGAGAACAGGTGAATGTTTGTACTTTTTGAGATGAGTGTTTTTCTGGACCTTAACGGTTTTGGTGCGAGATATTCAAGTGGGTAGAAAAATAAAAAATAAACAAATAAAATAAATAAATAAATTCCTCTATATCAGGTGAGACGTGATGATTTAAACTGATTAAGTTCACAAAAGGTTTTCATTATCTTTTGCATACCACGAATCACATAAATTTACCCCAGATCAATCCTTCATGCCATTATCTTTTACTTTGCGTCTCTATGACGCTGTCATAAACTAATCATCTACAGGTTATTGTGCATTTATGCTCACATTCAGCTACATCAATTTGGGTTCAATGTCATATCGCTGACAAATCTGCAAATGCCAACTTGTAAAACGTCACAAAACATTGCAATATGCTCATCCTTTTCCTGTTTATATTTTACTATGTTTTTATTTTGCAGCAATAAGAAGATGCTGTGAACAGACATTCTGCTTCTTCTACTGCATCAATAAATTATCAGGCGACCACAATGAGACACGAACTTGAGTTTGTGTCTGAGCATCTAGAAGAGTTGCATAAACCAGGTCACGAAGACAACAAAATCAATACAAAATCAATACAAAATGGGAAAAAAAAAATGACGCATTCTTGCAACAGCACAGCATGTTTGTCACTTGCCTTATGGTCCTCCTTAGTCATGCGGTCACATCAACAATGACTCACGGACTTCAACCCACGTTCATCAACCCGACAATTAGCGCCGAGGCAAGCCACGGTCCCACAGCGAGGCTCTAACCCAGAACGACTCCAAGCTCACGTTCTTCTTAACGTTCAAATCAGTCCCCGAACAAACAGCAAATTATTCCTCGATAAGGTGAGATAGCCATCTTGATGTTACAGAAGAAAAAAAAAAAAAAACAGAATCAAGGAGAGAGAGCAGACTGTGCTCCTTCTCAAACAGCACTCCAGAGAAAAAGAGAACACGCAGCTCCTGTTTGGGCTGTGTGTGTGTTTGCAGAGCTCTGAGGCTGCAGTACAAAGGCTGTGACAGTCTCCACAACCGCTGGCCCGAGCGTGCCATCCCCCCGCCGCACACACCCCCATGACGTCTCACAGTGGCTCCGGCGTGGATCCAAGCGCGTAAACAAGCCGAGCTAACTTGGCTCACATGACGCTGCTCACGCCCCCTCAAACCCCCACACCCCACTGTCTAAAAGCTCTACAATCATCAGCAGCGTTGTCACTTTCATCAGCAGCGTTGTCACTTTCATCAGCGCGCAGAGCTTTATGACTCCCATTAAAACTCAAATTGCACTCCAAGGCTAGTAGTAGGAAGCACTGGGAGCAGCCTTTGAACCCAGAGTTCCCCTTAAAAATTCCCCAACTCAGACACAAAACGATTCATATCTGCTTTTATTTTTTTTTTCCAGACACTTCAGCCTAAAAAGTTGATATTAAAAACAAACTTGTATGGATACATTAAAGTTTGAGCAAGAAAAATATGCCGGAATCATGCAGAATAAAAATGCTTTCTAAGTTCCCTTTACGCATTGACACTTTAAGTTTTATTTAGGTCGAGGCTATTCAATTAAATTGCTCAGAGGCTGGACAACCAGCAGTTATTGTCATTAAGTAAGTTTGTTTTATGGTTTAAAATCTAGTTTTAGTTCAAATTAACCCATTGGTGGACCAAAATGAGTTCATCCGTGGGCCTGATTTGGCCCCCGTGCCGCCACTTGAATAACCCTGGTTTAGGCTACTTGAGTGATTTTCCTCTGAAATGGAAAGACGATGTGGTTAAAACGGCAACTTTGAGCTTTAATTTGAGTACTTCAAATACCAGATTGGATGAAAAAAAAAAAACGGTAGGACGTGCGACACTCACGTCCCCCGCCTGCGCTTCACAGAAATTAGGAACAATCTGAATTAAAAAGAGCTCCATTCTGTGAAGTTAATACGCGATGTTTTGTTCTAGCTCGGCGTGAATGACTAAGTCTAAAAACAGGAAACGCATCATTTTCCAAATACTCACAGCATGCGTTGCTCATCTCCATAACATTCAGCCGGACACATTTATAACGTTTACAAACGGCTGGATATCCTCTGGAATTTTAAAGACCGTGCTTTTTAGACTGTCCTTTTTTTTTTTCATAAAACCGTTTTGTGCTCAAGTTTGTTCAGACTTTATTTTGTTTCCCTCTATAGATTTGAAACTTTGAAGCAAGGAAAACAAGTATTTGCTGAATCAGATCAGGTTAAATCATCTGCTCTTTATAAAAAAAGGGTTTTTCTTAATCTCACTCGTTACACAAGTTTTTACGCCTGAAGGTTGAAAATCTCTTTCCAGCCTTTTGCCCGTGCAGCTACCGTCATAGAAACCAACTTTTTCATCTGTTTGTTTCCAAAAAGCTTCAAACTCTTTGGACTTTTTTTTTTGTTGTTTTTAGTTAATCGCCGTTGAACGTTACAGTCCTAGAGGAAACAGCCCAGATTGGTCACCGGGGGATTAAACTGGTCTGGTAATCTCAGACTCAGTACATTTGAGTTTTTCTTTTAATTGATTAGCCCCAGATGGGGCACTGGGCATATACACGTGCTGCCCTTCTGCCTTTCTCTAAACCCATCTGTGGCAAAGATTTAATGAGGGATTTAGGAGATTAACTACCACTGCATGGGCTTTGCTTTTATTGCATTACTCCCTATTAGGTTCTCCTGTTTTAGACCCATCAAGAGCCGTTTCCTCTTGGCAACAGAACGTCTTCATGTAACCGTTTTCCCTCCGTTTCTAAGAGCACGGATGCACGATGCAGTCGGTGTGTTTTACATCCCAAAACAAAAGCCTGCAGTTATTGCACCTTGATCTGAAAACGCAGACAGCCGAAATTGTTTTAGTATCCTTGAGAGGAAAAATAATCACACAAAACACATATTTAGGTAACATGTCCCATCAAACCTGCAGCTTTTAGTATCCTGAAAAGAGAGTTTTTGCATGAATCCCCCACTTATCGCCATTATTGAATCATCTTTTTGAGGCATAACTAACACATATCGTCTTATCAAAAGAAGTGGATTAAAAAGCAACTTTCTGGCACACAGCGCGATGGTCCAAAGAGAATTTGGGCTCGTTTTGAAACGTTTCACGCCAATGCTTTCCCTTCTAAAAGTGGTCATTGTTGGCATGTTGCTTTTCCGCTCCTCATGGAAAATTACAAATAAATCTTTGAAGCGTGGAGAAGTCTGAACGCATGATTTATTCATACAGCTCAGTCTTTATTGGCTCACTTCATTATGGTGACGAATTTCATCAGGGGGACTCAAAACAGGAGGATCTTCTGAAAAAAAAAAAAAAACCCAGAGGAGGTTGGATCTGAAATTGCAGGAAGATTTCTCCTGCAAGCATGGCCGCTGTTGGTTTTAGTTGAATTAAAACAAAATTAAATAAAGATATTGTTTGTGAAGGAACATCGAAAGCGCGTTTTTGGATAAAAGTGAAAGAGGAAACGTTGAGTGCACATAATAAGGAAGATGAGGCTGTAGGGGTGTAACCCACTAGTGTGTATGTGTGCGCGCGCGCGTGTGTGTGTTGCCACTCCGGTCGTGTAGACTTTGCACAGTCAAAACTGTAGCGGAAAAAAACTCGCACGGAGTTGCCAAACGCACACTTCGGGTTTAATTGACTAAAAATCGTGTGTGTCCATGAAAAGAAACCGAACCGGGCTCGCTCCGGGCCACGGGTTTGTTTTTTCCTCGTTCAAAGATCCTGAAGTCGCAGTTTTTGCCCCCCATCCTCGTGCACGAACAGCGCCATGTTGAAAGAGCTTTGACATTTTGACAGTGTCCGGTTTTTTTCCGATGTTTATTTTATTATTTTTTTTGGGGTTGTTTTTTTGTTTAGGCGACGAATAACGAACAAATACACTAATTTCTTATCTTCAGGAACAAGTTTACGCAAGAATTTAAAAAAATTACATCGCAATTACGACGAAGAAGCGTCAAAAACGAGACGTTTTCTCAGAAAATGTTACAGTTCTTGTTGTCTTCACGTGAGTTTATTCAAATAAATGATATTACCGCGAGCACGACGTGACGACGTCCTCTTCGCTGGTGAAAGCTGAGCATTACAGACACTTTCAAAACTACTTGGGCTGGAAACCCTCGCCTCTACACGAAAACACTTGGGAGGCTTTTAAAAAGCAGCCGCGGGACGTGGAAAATAACTCTGCGCGTGCTTATTTAGTCGACAGTTTAGCAAGAGAACGAAACCAGAGAAACCTCAGAAGACGCCGTCACCTGTCTTACCTGTCCGAGTTTTTTTTTTTTTCCTCTTCCTTCCTGACACCTCTCCTCTCCTTTCAGACCCCCCGCGTGTTTCTTTTTTTTTTTTCTTCTTCTTCTCTCTCCCTCCTCTCTATCGCGTTGAGCTCGCGAGCAAAGCGACGTCTTTCAGTTGCTGCCCCCGTTTCAATATGGCATCGCCCTTCTGCGCATGTCCGAAAACATTACAGATATTTCTTCTTCTTCTCTTTTCGTCTTCTTCTTCTTCTTCTTCTTCTTCGGGGTTTAATGGTAGTTGGCATCCGCGCAAATATTTTCAAACCTCCGATGACCTTTTCGTTTTAAAGACTCTGCTTTTACACTTTGTCACAAAGATAAAAAATATTTAACGCATAGCCCAATTCAACTATTTAAAGTTCAAAATATAGCAGCCATTTATTATTTTTTTTATCAGTTTCGAAAATAAATAGACGTTTTTAGTCAGGATGTTTAACTCTATTCTCGGAATTAAAATATATATTTTAATTAGTTACAGCTTTCTGATTAGAATAACATGAATAAAACACTTTAAAGGACTAATGTCTAAGGACTGGTTATAATCAGATGCATGAGTGCACCCTCCCCTAAAAAACGTTAATTTATCATATCTTATTGGCACGTTTGCTCTTTTTAATCTGCTTCCTTCATGCTCCACCTTTCCCCTCCACAGTTCACCAAATAAAACAGCTCCCATCAATTTATTTCTAAGAATTTCAGGGTCAGTTCTTATCACAGTCAACAGTATCCTCTAGTGGCGGCGCATCGCATCACTTTTGGCGCGTTTGCGCACATTTTCAGACTTTAACCATAATTCTTTAAACTGAACTCTTTTTTTTAATCAGTTTGAATCATCATGGACTTTATTCTACAAACATTTAAAGCTCTGCTAAGTTTGTTTGTCAGGTGAAAAGAATAAGTTCCTCTTTAAACGTGGAAGGCTACAGTTGACCTTTGGAAATACTGAGTCAGTTTTGCGCAACAAAACATTAGTTAACATATAAAAGGAATGATTTAAAAATCCTTTAAAAAATAGCAACAAAAGAAACAAGAGATTAAAACAAAAACTCACATTTAGACATGTTTTTTTTTCTGATTTTTTTATCAAAACTGAAATCCATAAAATGGTCATATAGGCTTTTGTAGCCAATAAATAAGGACGTTAATAGGATTTTTTAGTTTCCCCAACACATTTGACCATTTTTTCATCAATTCCTGGGTCAGTTTTCTTTATATTTTCCATCAGAACTATATATTTTCATCTATTTTTCTCCTCAAAAACCAAAAGAAGGCTCGACTTGCAGCTGTGCCACCAGGAGATAATGAGTAAAAATCCTCCTTAGATCGCAGTGGAATGTAAAAACGTGTGACAGGTTGGGTTTCGTGCAGACCCCGCAGCTTGCACGAGCTGCTGCGGTGTGATGCGGGAACAGATGGTTGGAGCGTGCCTCATTAATCTGCCCGAGAAGAAGGAGCTTTTCCGGGCGCGCGCGGGCGACAGGATTAACCCACTCCTCGATGTGCACGCGCAGGAGTGGACACGTGCGGCTTGTGCAGGCAGGAGCCTCTGTGCAAGCGGAGGGAAGGGCGGGCGACAGTGTTTCTACACGTGTGAGCGCAAACGTTGTCTTTATCTGTGGAGTCATGTTAGCAAAATATCTCATAAACCACAGGATGGATTCAATGAAAACTGGTTGTAGGCCTACAACTGATTAACTTTTGAAGCTACAGCCAACACAAAACATCTCAATTTACCAGAGACAAATGTGATGCAATTGAGCAAGGCGCGTTTTGGATATTTGCATGAGACTGCGCATGCATTTTCAAGATTTAATCCAAATTTCTCTAAATAGAATGATTTTAGTTTAATGGCATGAATGACGGAGGGCAATGCATTTTTTTCAGTGAACGCTAGACCTTTATGCTTCTTCTTCTTCTTGATTCCAAGCAGTCAGACTTTTTTTTTTTTATATATTTAAAGTGGTTTTCATCAACAGTTTTTAAAGTTTTTTTTAAAGGTCTTTAAAAGTTTTAAAGCTTTTCTGGCTGCTTTTTGTCTCACTTTCTGCACAGTTCCTGACCATTTTCAATGGTGACCTCTGACCTGTTAATCAGACATAAAATGAAAATTAAGATGAAAGAAGAAATTGTCTAATCATAAAACATTTTTTTTTGTGGAATTGTGTTTATTTGTAAGAAAACTTGAGTCTTGTTCCCTGTAAAAAGATGAGGACTAAAATATGAAATGACAGTGTAAGCAAAATAACAGCATTTATACTTCATAAAGTTAAGTTATTTATCACCCTTATAAGATTGGTGATGAATAAAAATGAATATCACTCATTTTAAAGTCCAAACATGGCGCATTTTGAAGCTTTCACGAGTTTAAAGACAATTTGGAATTCCGAGCTCCTTTGAACACATCACAAACAATTGGACAAAACGAGTAGCAGTTAAATGTTTTTATTTCGCTTCTTTTCTCACTTTAAAAAAAAAAAATTGCTTTATTTTTCCTATAAATACAAAATAAATAAAATAGAAAAATTGACAGCTAAAGCGTTACTCTTGTGAATTGTTTGCGTACTAAAATAACTTATATTTTGTTAACCATAAATAAAGCGCACGTTGTTTTAATTGCGCTCCCAACGGTGCTTTTATTTTGATAGGCACTTACCGGAAGCTGAACGTTTTGTTTTGTTTCGGCTACTTCACGGACCGTGTTTTTGTTTGTTCTGAGCGTGGATGTGAGTCAGATAATTTATCTCCTGTTTGCTTTAAAATCACGAGATGTAGACTCTGGAAAGGCCGAGGGAGAGGAGTTGAGTGTTCGTGCCTTGAATCGACACCGGACGGTTCTGAGGACAGAAACAAACAAAAGGCTCTTTTCGCTCCTTTTGTTCAGAGACGTTTTGTCATGGACATGTACGGGTTCACTGGGGGGTTCGTGGACAGCGGTCCGGTTGAAGTCGTGAACATGTCTGACATTAGCAAGGCGAGTCCTCACGGCTGTGATAACGGAGCTTTGACGGACAGGTTCGGGGTTCTGATCCAGGGACTCCTGGCCGTCGTCGCCTTCAGTACTTTGATGTGTGAGTATCATCCATGAAGTTAGCTGCTTTAACTGAAACAAACATCACGTTGGTTATTAAACACATTTAAAACAAGCTTGGGAAAAGACTACTTTGTCTCGTTAACCTGTTAGATGTTACCCTAATGTTCAGTCAGGTGGACGGTTTCTTTTTTGTTGTTGAGACGTTTCGTCCATCATCCAAAGGACTTCATCAGTCCGAGGAGCCACTCTCACATAGTGGCTCAACCAGTTTGCTGGTGATAAGATGGTTTCTATGGCTCGCCCTCTCCCCGGTCGACTCCTCCAAGGTGGTAAAGTGGTTCAAAACGTCAAAGTTCATGCGCAATAATAAAATAAAATAAAATCCAACAAAGTTCAGTGAGGTCATCTGGATGGTTTCTAAGGCTGCCTCTGTGGAGTCGACAGGGGAGAGGGCGAGCCCAGAAACCATCTTATCACCATCAAACTGGTTGGGCCACTATGGGAGTGTGCTGCTTGTGATACTGTTTGTTTGTGTGTGGCTCCTTGGATTGATGAAGTCCTTTGGATAAAGGACAAAACGTCTCAACAAAAAAAAAGAAACCGTCCAGATGACCTGACTGAACTTTGTTGGATTTTCTGGATTATTGAGCATGAACTTTGCCGTTAGATGTTACTTTAGCTTCTTTAAGACTTGTGCGTAAAATGAGGATTTTAATCCCGTTTCTATTTTTTAAAAGTACTTTAGGCGATAAACATGTCAGATTTTCTATTTAGTTAATTTTGCTGTTGATTTTTCTCGTGAATTTGGATCCGTTTCTTCTTGGACCGCGTAAAGCTTCAGGTCGTCAATTTATTTGTGCGGAAAAATGATCAAAAATGAAAACCCATAACGATTATAGGACGTATGTCCAAAAAAACTTGAAGGCGTTCAGACAAAGAAGACACAAACCATGAGTCTCCCTCCACCGTGCTTTACAAACTGGATGCATTTTTTTGAGTTGATGTTCGGTTTTTTTTTTTGTTTTTTTTTCCTAAAATTGTCTTGTCTTTCCCCAGAACTTTGTCAAACATGCTATTATGGAACACAGTGCAGTTATCTTTTGGGAACAGTGGTTTTCCTTGTGTGACTTATCTGAATTTTATTTTATTTTATGGAAACACACATCCGTCTGTCCATCCATCCTTCTGATATGCTCATTTTTTTTATGTCAGCGTATAGTTTTTATTTAGCAAAACATAACAATAACTCGCTCAAAAAAAAAAAAACATTTAATTTTAATTTGATTAAAACTGTATTTAACCAGATAAAACCCCGTTGAGATCAAGAAGAGTGACCTGGCCAAGAAAAGGCAGCAGCGCACGTCATAAACACAAGACAAGCGACAAGATTAGAATAAGACTTCAGAAATATATAAAAACATACAATATAACAGTAAAGGGCAATAGCTGTAATAATAATAATAATAATAATAATAATAATTTAAAACAATGGCGATTTAAGCTCAAAACCAGAGGCACTGTTGACAAGATAACCATGTGCATGTTCACATTGTCATTTTCTGTGTATTCTGCTTCTTTTTTGATTATTTCATATGTTTTAAACAGATCGAAATTGTGCCACAGTTGGTAGAGCTGTGGCCTCTCAGCAAGAGAAGGTTGCTGGTTTGAATCCCGGCTAGGGGGGGAGACATTCTGGTTGGAGTTTGCATGTTCTCTCCATGTATGCGTGGGCTTTCTCCGATTTCCTCCCACAGCCCAAAAACATGCATGTTAAGCTGATTGTGGAGACCTGTCCAGTCCACCCCGCCTCATGCACAGTGACTGCTGGATATGGGCACCAGTGACCCCCGTGGCCTGAAAAGGAAGAAGCGGGTTAAGATAATGGATGGATGGATGAAGCACGCTGATATAAAAACACAAACGTGTCTAATATCATCTGATTAAAATCCATCAGCTTATCAGTCTAGCTTTACTTTCTATGCAGGACAGAGATTATACTTAATCCTAAATTAGGTTATTAAATGGTGTTTGTCTAGAACTGTGACTTCGATAAAGGTTCAGCATTTTGTGTCAATAATTGCAACAGATTTCCTGGTATGTTCTTCTTGCAACAGTGGACACAGATCCAGTCTTTTTTCTTTTTTTTTCTATGTGCAAATGGTGATGACGTCAAATCAGTGGAAGGAAAAGCTTTTCTGAAGACGAACCAGTGACTTGGCATAGCGCCACTCGGATGACAGCCGAAGGACCCTTAATGCGCTGTCGCACATAAATTATGACATAAATAACAAATGCGTACAAATTGTCCAGGAATGACACTTGCGAGCACTTTGAGCACCAGCGCGAGGGAAGAAGTATTGATTTGCTCGCTAATAAGTGACTGAGTAGAGGTTGAAGCTCATCGATCTCGTTTCCATTTAAGGCCGTTTGCTGCAGCCAAGGATTCATCATTGAACCCAGCTGCTTGATTTAATGATGAAATCACCACCACCGTGTGGACCTTTGACACTACACCCTAATTATTAGATCATATGCCATCATACTTAAAATAATAACATGATACGATTTTGAAGTAATGCCATTATTTGCAAATGGCCCATTAGCAGCCCAAGATAGTGATAAATGTACTTTTAGACAAAATGTTGAGGCAAATAAAAGTAGAAAATGAAGAAATTATGACGCGTAGAATAAAACTGGTGATGAATATGACAAAACATTGCAAGTTGGATCAAACTAGATACATTTTGAGACGCTTCTTGTGCTTTTCAGCTGTAAAAATGATCCAAAACTGGTGAGATGCTCAATATTTTTCCAATACGGCTGCCACACAAAAAACAAGTTTTAAAGCTGGTTTAGGACAGAATAAATCCACAGCTGTTCACTGGCAACATTATGTTTAGCTGTTATTCAAATAATCACCTTCAAAGAAGCTCAAACCAAAAAGAAATCCGTTGACTAACATCAGCTCTGCTTGTCGTAGGGCTGGATGCAGTGTGTGATATGAGTTGAGTGCAGTGAGAGAGAAACTTGTCCCTACGTTTGCCCGTCTAAAATTATTTATTTATAATAATGTATTATCATCATTGTATGTTCTCATACAATGGCGAAATTGGCTCTCTGCATTTAACCCATCCACCACCAGGTGGAGCAGTGGGCAGCTATTGGGGGCGCAACTGGGGATAGGGTGTGTTGCTCAGAGACACCACAAGATGTGTCGGCTGCCCTGCCTCTACACCATTTCGGCCCCGATGTAAGAAGCTAGTAGCTACACTCAGTATGCCAAACGAACTTATATACATGTTAAAATAAAACTGGAGAATGCTATTTTTTTAAATATTCTTGACGGGCCACCCATAGCTACGCTAAGACTAGAAAAGGGATAGTCTAGTCATTTTTCAAGTGATGTTCTGACAAATATCAGCGATGACGTCTGTCCTAGAGAGCTCAGCGTGAGGAGGAAGAGGCAAAAATGTTTGCTAGAGATTTACAGCTCTGTTGAAGGGAGCTGGGTCCGTTCTTTTCAAAGCGCCGTGCAGTTCAGAACCGTTGTCACATGGTGTGGCCAGTGACGTCGTTTAGCCGCACGAAGTGTCGTACGGCTGTTGCACGTGCAGTCTCATCTTCTGAGCGCATGTTTCCCAGATTCAACTGCTGCGCTTTTTCTTTATACTCTGTTTTATGTCATAGTTGATAGGATACTAACTATTGATAACTATTGGACAAAACACAAAAAAGGTTCAGTCATGTCATCTGGACAAGTTTCTTTAAGGGAGAAGTGTTTCGTCTTTCATCCAAAAGACTTCATCAGTCTGCAGCCTGCCAACCCAGATATGTCCCATAAATAGCATCTTCTTGATGTGTTTCATGCCAACCTCCTGTTGAATTCCAAGAAACCAGCTTCTAACACATGCATATAAAAGGGACTATCTGTCCAAAACAATCATTCATCATGCATAGCAAAAATGCTTAAGGCCAGGGGACCAACTTGCTAATCACAGAAACAGCCAATCTGAAAAACTGCATCAGTCGTCAGACTGACGAAGTCTTTCGGATGAAAGACAGAACGTAGCGAAACGGGTCCAGATGACACGATTTAACCGTTGTTGTTGTTTTCCACCTGGATGATTAAGCTTACAAACCTTTATTGGACAGAACACTACTTTAAATTTACTAGACTATGCTTTTAAAATATGCACACTTATTGTGTGTAGGCCTGTCACGATAACAAGTTTTGCTGGGCGATTAATGGTCTCAGAAATTATTGCGATAAACGATAATATTGTTTGAAATTTGACAATAATTAGTCATTATTGCCAAATTTAAGAAAAAATGTTAGGCAATTTTGCATGTAGTACCCTTTTTTACCACTGGATGGCAGTATAAGACTGAACCGTAGTTAGTTAGGGAGAGAGAAGCGTGTCTCTTGAAGAAAAATGGGAGGGAGGTCCTTTGACGTGACATGGGCTGTCTCTACTTCCTGTTTTTCAATTCTCAAAATGGCGGACGCTCGGTGTGGTTTGAGCTCTTTAACATAGCATTTTTCACACAAAGCTTTTAATTAAAAAAAAATCAGTAAACAAGTTGTCAGCTTCTTTTTGCAGTGAAAAACAACTTTTTACACGAAGGCACGGGTTTCAACCGTGAATTCTGGAGTTTCTACAAGACGGAGGTATTCCCCCAAGGTCAGCCTGTTAGCTTAGCTCGTAGCTTAGCTTCTCAGCTTAGCTGCGTTTAACGATCCAAAAACGCAATTTTGGACGATTTAAAATGGATTTTAAAGAGAAAAAAGAGACAAGGAGGGGTCAGTGAAGAACACCGGAGTTGAGCCTTTTGTCATCCAGTGTCTTCAGTAGAAAGAGAGAGACAAAGAAACGATAAAGCCGATAAATGAAAATGAGGTCGATAATTTTCATTTATCATGTGATTAATTAATTTATCGTTTATCGCGACAGGCCTAATTGCGGGACACAATTTCTGAAAGTATTTAAGCAGGAAGGCTCATCTTGTTTTCACATGCGGAGTCACGCTGTCTGAAGAACAGTGGCCGCCTGTTCACGTTGAGGCTGTCCAGGATAAATAAAGTGTTATTGCACACTGGATGATACGTCTGGGCTGCGTTTGTCTGTCTCCTGGTGTTCTGCAGAGAGACGAGCTGTCTTTCAGAGGTCAAACATGTCATTGTTCTGCCCTGTCGTTGTTTTTCAGTGAAAAGGTTCCGGGAGCCTGTAGGGATAAGACGACCATGGAGGATCTGGTCAGCAACTTGATACATCTATTATTGATTACTACCATAAGTATAAAGAATAAATGCACCCTTCTAAGAAAGTTATTTCGTCTTTTCCAGGTTTTATGACACGTCCAAACAGGCCATCGGTGCTCTGTTTATCCACTTTGCCAATGTCTTCCTGTCCACTCTCACCAAAGAGGATCCGTGCTCTCTGTGAGTCACCAGCGAAGATTTGCCACAATAAGATGCAACATGTCCACCAGCAACCGCTTAACCGTGCGTTAACTTTGGATTTTTCCCGCAGTTACTTGATGAATTTCCTGTTGGATGCAGCACTTGGAATGCTTGTCATCTGGTTGGCTGTGAAGTTGGTGTCCAAGCTGGTGGAGTACAAGCAGTGGAGCCTGCTCGCGTTCGGAGAATATGGTGGGCGGAGTTAAACCAAATCGTTCTTTTTCAGTTTTTTTTAATTTTAGTTAAGTGTGCCAGCGCATAAGCATTAAAGCACCTTTATTGTGTAACTGCTGGCATTTTCTATTTTTTTTTTCAAATGTTTTTGCATCCTAGCGATTCATGCATACTTTTTTTTTTTTTTTTAGCAATTTACAAAACTTCTCTCCATTGAAATACTGATAAGCCTCTTCAGTTCCATCAAAAACATTTGTCTCTTTAAAATCTGATTTAGCTTCATTGCAATAAAAACAATTCTGTATGGGAAACTTTTAACTTTTAGCAACTAATCCGCTGTACTTTTAGGTTTTAGCTAGCCTTTTGAAGCTTTTAGCTACAATTCTGTTACTTTAATTCGTTCAACCTTTATTTATGCAGGTTAGTCTCATTAAGAGACGAGGACTCATTTACAAAAGAGACTTCTTGTAGACAAAACCACAACAATAAACAGCCATAAAAAACATGTAAAATGAAAAGTAAATGAAAGTAATGAAATAAAACAAAATAAAGTCAAGCTACATAATGAGCAGTTTAGGCATTAGCTTTTAGCTAGCTTTTTGCTACATGTAGTTTCTAGCTAATCT